GGGGAGCTTGTCACAACAGGGTGATGGAAGAAGCAGCGACCCCTTTCTCTGTGCTCCTCCTTCACATAACATCACTTGGTGTGAATCCCATGGAACAGCAGTCCTGTGGCTGATTGCAGGTGAGCGTTGCTGGCTCCAGGTCAGTGTTCCTGGTTGCAGGTGAGCGTTGCCGGCTGCAGGTGAGCGTTGCCGGTTGCAGGTGAGCGTTGCCGGTTGCAGGTGAGCGTTGCTGGCTCCAGGTGAGCGTTGCTGGCTCCAGGTGAGCGTTGCTGGTTGCAGGTGAGCGTTGCTGGCTCCAGGTGAGCGTTGCTGGCTCCAGGTGAGCGTTGCTCACTGCAGGATTCCAGGCGTGCAGTCCACGTGAGTCCCGTGAGCTCAGCGCGGTGCTCTCTCCTTACCTTGGGGCGGCTCAGGGGGATCACGTGCAGCCCTGGGCAGCTGCTCTTACCTAGTTCAGCAGTGCTTGCCTGGCTGGGAACAGCTCAGCATCCCGCTGAAATTACAGAAGGGCTGAAAACATAACCACCAGTGCTGGCACCAGGCCAGCGCCCTGACACAAACCTGCATGGAAAATTGCTTTGGCATCTGTATTGACTGGAGATAATTGGAACTTCCCAGTATTTTTTCAGCTTATCCTAAAACCTTTTAGCAAGAGCAGCAGTCAGGCCAGCGGTGTGTAGCACGATAACCGTGTTTCCCTGCTGTTGACACAGGACTAAAGTGCCAAAGAGGCACAAAAAACGGTTCCCCAGAGACCTGTGGCTGGTGCTGCCTCTGAGCTGATGGTGATCCCAACACTGGACCGTGTGCTGCCTGCTCAACAATGTAAAAGTGTCTTAAGAACGAGATATAAATATCTTTTTATGTCTTAGAATGAGAATGGTATTAAAATAGAGCTTCTGCTGGCTGGTATAGGAAAGGGGTTGAATTTCCCTCAGAACTTTGAACTCACAGGCACTTGTGCGGGGGAGAACTGTCCTCTGAGCTGACTCTCAGGCTTAGTTCTTGCTTTTGTGAAGCTGTGGGTTTTTTTTTGCCCAGATTTAGCAAAGTTGGGGGTTGGACTGGATTAAGGAGGGAGCAATTGGTTGTGGTCCTGGCAGCTGAAAGGCCTTGAGGCTGAGGAGGTGGTGGTTTGTAGATCTGGAGTGGGCAAGGAGGAAAGGTGGGACCAGCTGTTGGGAAGGTGAGAGCCAAGGTAAGGGTATTCATTTCAGCCTGATGCTGTCAGAGGCACCCAGGGGGTGCTGGGTGGTGGGTCCTGCTCTTTGGGCCTGAATCTGAAATATTGGCCCCAGTCTGCAATAAAAAGGTTTCAGGTGCTTCCAGTGCTTCCAATAACCTGTGTGGGCACCTTCACCTCCACCTTAACGTGGTAAACTTTTATCTGCAGTGCAACAGTTTGGGGCCAGTGCCATTGTCTTTGCACAGCCAGTAATAAACATTTGGGGGATTTGGGAGGTGAAGGATAGACCAAAGCTCCCAAGTCATCTCCTGTGCCCAGAAAACTTGACAGGGAATCTCTCCAGGTGTGGAGTGCCAAGGACATCCCTGCCATTCCAGATGCTCAGGTACACAGGGGTTGTGGCACGAGAAGCCTGTGAGCAGATGTACCTTCAGCTCTGACCCAGCACTCCTGGAAGGAGCAGGACTCCCCATTCTCTGCGTGTCAGGCTGGCAGTGCTGAAGCCAACGAGCAGTGGAAGGTGTAATAAATGCAGAGAAATTCAAATTAGGCTGGTATTTTTCACACCTTCTGGTTTAAATGTGGAGTGGCCACCTGAGTGGCACCATTCTTGATTCTGCTGTGCCTTTCTGGACTAAACCCTGGGTACCATGAGAACCTGGGTAGGAGTGTTTCCCTGGAGGGAGCTGTGCTGCTTTTCCCAGTGGCAAAATTGTCCTGTTTTCACGTTCAGCCAGTGGCAGTTTAATAATAAAGTAACCACGCAGGTTCAGTGGTTGTGCACAGTTCATGTGAGGTGTCCTCAGCTGAACTGCAGGAGTCAAAGGTGAGGGGGAGAAGGACAACAGGGTGTAGTTTTCCTGTGGCTTGTAGAAGTGCAGATGTTGCAGGATCCTCTTGAATGTGGTGTATTTATTTGTCTCACTGCTGCATTTGGAAGGTGCTTCAGGCCGTGTGTCCGTGTTGGTGTTTCACTCCTGTGTCAGAAAGCTTTAGTTTAATTTTTGTTACTTTGTTTATTTATTATATTCTGAATATATATATATTATGTTCTGAATGTCTCTCTGCTCTGAGCTCTCGGGGTGCTTTAGCTGGGCTCTGCCTTGCACAGAATGTAGTTTTCTGTGCCAGTTGGCCTGTAAGCAAATACCACGATGTGCATATTCTAACGAGGGTAAGCTCTGGAGGTGACTTTGTTAATTAGCCCAGGATCCAGGGAAAGGCCGTGTGCTAACGAGGCATCAGCAGTTGGTCTGAAGAGTCCCTCCCAGCTGTAGTAAACATTTAGGAGGAGGTTCTTGAGGTTAGGGGAGCAGCTTTTTTTTTTTTTTCTCCTGAAGTTTAATTGCTCTCTTTTTGCTGCTCAGCTCGTGTTTCCTTCTGCTGAGCAGGGCACTGTAAACAGAGGTCCCGGATCCTGCTGGATCTCCCAGGAGCTGGGAGAAGGGGACTGAACCCCTGGAGAGGAGAGGGGGGGCTTCTCACTCCTCACTGCTGATTTCTCATTTTGGGGGAAAAAACCTCCCAGAAAAAAGTCTTGTGATTACCAGAAAGTTTTGATGATGGCTGAGCTGTAAGGAATTGGGAAAAACCCAACGATTTTTTTTTTTTTTAATGATTTCTCTAGATTTGATCTGAGGTTGATGGAAGTATTGTACAGAAATTGAGAAAAAAAATCCAAACCTGATCTCTCCGGTGATTTTGGAAAATGCAAGATGTTAAGAAAGCAGGGATTGGGGAAGCTGTGTTGGTTATGGGTCCCTTATCTCTTTCTGGCTCCACTGTGGGCTATAAGAGGGGGAATTAAAATAATTTGCTTTTTTCAGCAGCCACCCTTTGGGCTGAAGATCCCCAGCGGGATTTGTTCTCCAAAAACGAGACAAATGTGGCTGGGGAGAACAATAAAGCTACTGCTGCGGGTTCAGGAGCTCTTAGAAACGACTTGTAATTTGAGATCCTCGACTTGCAGCAGCTTCAGGGAGAGAGTCGGGGTTATTTTGGGGTCTGAATGTGAGCAGTGTGGAGGGAGGCCCTGCAGGGCTGGAAGCAGCTGTGTGATGAGCTGTATCCCAGGGCCATGGCCCAGTTTCCTCCACTGGAATGTCCATTTTGCAGCCCTGGTGTAGTTTTGAAGACTTTTAGTTGAAGTCTGCATGCTTTATGCTTTTTTTTTCCTTCCCCCCCCTTTTTTTTTTTTCCCCCTTTTCCTCTTTCAGTCCGTATTTTTGCAACGTCTCTGGGGCTGCTCCTAAAAGTCAGTGGGGTTTCCTGGGAAGTGCTGCTCCATTCCCCCTGGCAGACTGTGGTGTACAGAACTGAGGGGTTTGCGTGCTGAGAGGGGTTTCTGTTCGGCAGCCCTGGAGCTGCCAGGTGTGTTATTTGCATGTGTAACCCCTGAGTTGTTTTGGCAGGTGGGCTGGAACGTCAGAAGGGCCATTTGATAGCAGAGAGGGCTGTGCATTGATCACAGCAGTGTGATCTGGCCATTTTGCTCTTCTTCAGTCTTTTCTCAGTGCAAATAAAGCCCAGTTTCAGTGAAAGCCTCAGAGGGCCTTTTGGTGGTTGACAGGTTAACAGCTTGTGGGCACTGGTTGTTTCAAGAGTGGGGTTGTCACGTGCAACCTGTTTTAACACTGAATTTTACTCAGATTCAGCTTTCTGTTTGATGGAGTCACTGATGTCAGTGCTGAAGAACCATTAGGTACAACCATGGCTAGTGGAGCTGTGTGTGTGGTGTTGATCTGGTGGTTTCTGGCAGCTTGTGAAGAACAATTTTCCCCAAAGGGCTCCAACTTTGGAAAGGGAATTCTTTGGGGTGTGAGCTGCCTTGTGTGGTGTGCAGCTGCTGGGGGACTTGTGAAGGCCATGGCAGCCCCAAAACAGAACTCAGTAGTGAGCTGATGCTTCAGGAGTCCTTCGCTGGAGTGTGTGGTGCAGTGTGAGGTGCCAGAGAGCAGATGAGGTGCTGCTGGGTTGTGCCTCCCTTTTTACCATCTTGCAGCACCTCTGGCTCCTTGTATCCCTGTGACTCTTTGTCCTGACTCATTCTGATTCCAGAGCCACATGTGAAACTTGGATGCCTTTATTCCCCATCCTCAATCACCTTCCTCTGTCTGCCAGAACCACCAGTACAAACCCATGTATTTGGATGCAGTGCTGACAGAGATGAAAGGCTTTCATCCTAAACAAGTCAATTTGGCCTGGGAGTCCTGACTTTACCAATAGCACTGACCACAGAATGAATCGTGGCTTTTTATCCCTTGTTCTTCTGTCCTGTTTTAAAAGCACAAGCATCAAACCACGTGTGGGAGATGTTTCTGCTGCTTCTTGCACAAATCGGCTTTGTAATGTAACTCAGATGCTTCAGAGTTGGGGAGCCTTTTCAATTCAGGGCTGTGGTGGTTCAGTGGGTGATCTGCAGCACTGGTGTCTGTCCAAGGCAGCGTTGCTGTCCTTCAGCTTTCCTCTCATGATGGAATTAATGGCTCAGTGTGGGACAGGACAAGGAACTCATGTCATTGTGTGGTTTTATGGAGGTGTTCAATGACAACTTTGCTGCCATTAATTGAAGATTTACCCCCTCAGGTCCCCTTTAGCTCCCAGAAATAACTGTCTAGGCAGAGCTGGAAGCTCTGGTAGCAGCACAGAGCACTCCCACCGTGGAGTGGTGGCATCAGTGCCCTCCCCCTTCTGACTGTTCTCCGAAGGCAGGAGTGGGGTTGGAAGCAAACACCAAGAAGTTTCTTGTGGGGTCTGGTTATTACAACTGCTACAGTTTCTTTGTTAATGAGCAGGGTGATTTTGTGTCCCACAGGTGGCTTTGCAATAGTGTTTCTGGTGAGGACGAGCAATGGGGTGAAGTGTGCCCTGAAGAGGATGTACGTCAATAATGAGTACGACCTGCAGGTCTGCAAGAGGGAGATCCAGATCATGGTGAGTCGCTGCTCTGGGCTGGGACACCACGCTGGGCTGGAGTGCTGGGACAGCCTGGTCACCTTCTGGCTGGGATCTCTCTAGCATCAGGTCACATTTTGCATTTTCTTAGCAAAACTGGCTCTCTTTTGGAAAGACCTGACTCCAGGAGTTATGTGGCTGTGAAAATCTGGTACTGAATTATTTAAAATGTAAGTAGTTCCAGTGGACAAGCAAAACCTGGCAGCTAAAACACCCAGGGAATTTGGGGAAAATGGGGGGAAGAAAAAAGCTCCTGTGTCAACCCTATGGGTTACTGGGAAAAGGAAGATCTGAAGAGGCAAGCCTGGCTGGGGGTGCTGGGATTCAGTCTGAGAGTCTTCAACTGAGAGCTAAAGTTTTCATTCAGCCTGTTAGACCTCATCAGAGAAGGCTGATGGTTGTGATGTAGCTGTGTCTGAACTGAAATCCGTGCAGGCATGGCAGACCCCCATCCTGAGATAAATCTATATCACAGCAGCTTCTAATCCTTTGGGGCAGGAGGAAGGTTGGGCTTGGGAGATTCAAACAGTGTTTGTGGGGTGGTCACTGTCAGGACTTTTGAAATGGGAAAGTATCCATAACAAGCTCTGGGATATTTCTCCAGATTATATCTATACAGGATTTATATGATAGGATAGCTGGTTTTAATAGCTGTTTTAAACTTAGCATCTCTGAACAAAGACAAAATGGAGGCGATCCAAATAGACTCGCCTGATCTGGTTTGCAGCCTGGTAAACATGGGAAGTGCCACTTCTGAAGTTGTGTCCAGAGATATCGATGAACATTTAGAGCAGCTGCAGGTGGGGAAGGAAATATAAAATATATAAGATATAAAATCCTCATTCTGTGAATTCACCACATAAGGCACAGGTTTGGGGTAGATGATCCTTTCAGCAGCTCTTACCTGTGGCTGATCTGGGTGTGATTTCTGAAGTAGCTTTTCATGAGGTTGATAGCCTGAAGGTGAAGTGCTGGTGTTTGTGATAGCACAGTGGAGCTTTGGGCATGGATTGTCCTCCCCATGGCTACGTGGGGAAAGCTGAGATCAGATCTCACATCAAAGGTTTCAGCTGTGCTCACAAAGCTTGTTTCCTTGGGTTTTTCTTGCTGGTGCTTTCCATTGTCTCCATGTCTTTGGTGCCTTGGGAATGTGTGGCTCTCCTGGAAGGTGAGGGTGAGGAGGACCCTTCTTACCCAGCAGGTCCTCTTGCTCCTGGATGGGATCCTAGGCACTCATCTTTGTCCTGAGGAACCAGGACGTTCCTGAAGTGAAACAATTCCTTCTTCCCCAGCTTTTCTGCAGTCAGGAATTATTTACACCTCCGGTTTTTGCAGCCCTGCAGTGTCAGAGCAGAATGTGCCCAGCAGAGCCCTGATCTCCTTTAGTGGTGAAGCTGAGCATCACACTGGGCTGGCTGTCAGACCTGGGGGTGTGTGTGAACCTGGAATCCCGAAGGAGTGACTTTTCCCTGCAGGTTTAGCGTGTTGCCCCCACGGCAGGGGGGGTGGAACTGGGTGATCTTTAAGGTCCCTTCCAACCTAAACCAGCCTGTGATTCTATGAAAAGTCACTGATAACAGAACTTGTGCTTTAACCCATCGAGTTGCTTAAAATAAGGCACTTTGAAAAGCAAGGTTAAGATTTATTTTGTTGGTTTAGTGGTGGGTTTTTTTGGTGAAGATTCAAGATACTTTTTGTCAGCAGGAGAGTGAAGGGAGATGAGACAAGTAAGTACAACGTGTACTGCATGGCCACCCCCACCATCTGCCCTGTGTAGAGGAGGAGCTCTGGGGGCTTGGCCTGGGAATGTGCCAACATCTGGACCAGTCCTGAACAGGTTAATGCACCAGGTTGGCTGTTTCTCTGCTGTTTGTCTCAAATCCTTCTGGCAGGAGAACAGGTAGAGAGGGAGCTCAGGTTTGTTCAGGCTCTGTGCTGTGATTAACCCCAAGTGACAGGAGCTTGTGCAGCGGGGAGGAAGCAGATGAGGAGGCTGCTGGTTCATGGCTGCAATTTCTGTGCCTTCCAGCGGGACCTGTCTGGCCACAAGAACATCGTGGGCTACATCGACTCCAGCATAAACTCCGTGAGCAGCGGGGACGTGTGGGAGGTGCTGATCCTCATGGACTTCTGTCGGGGTGAGTGGGGGCTCGAAGTGTTGCACAGGGGTGGGCTGGTCCTTCGGTGCCTGCAGGGAACTTGGCACAGCATCTTCCTTTACCAGACAAAAAGCTGCTCCTGGGCCTGGCCCTTTCTTGGCTGCCAGGAAGCTGTTCTGAACAAAGCAAGGCCAGAACTAGGGGGGGAGAAGTGGGTTGACATGTGAAGCTGTGTGGACTCTGCTAGGGGGATTGGTACCACCTTTGCTCCTGCCCAGGGTGCTCCTGGATTGTTTCCACTGTGAAGGAGGACCCTAAAACACACATTGCTGTTGTCTGTAGGCTGGTCCACACAAGAAGTGGCTCTTCTAAAGCTCCCAGGCTGTGGGATGAAATTTTTCTTCCCTTTGTGTTGCACTGCAAGCTCTGTTCCATTCCAGCCTGACTTAGGATTGTTCTGGAAGAGGTATGACATGGCCAGTGTGAAGCCAAAAAGCATTCCTCTTACCTCTGACCTTTTTGCTTGGCTGTCTGTAGCCAGCCAGGCTCTCCCAGCCATCCCAAAGCTTTGATCTCCGTGCCTGGGATGTGGTGTTCGGAACATGACACGTGTGCTGGGCTCAAACGCCTCTCCCAGGAAGGGTGTTTAGCAAAAACAGTGCTTTGGCCAGGTGACTTCAGAAGTGTGTGGCTGGTTTGGACGGTGGCAGTCAATGCAAATAAGCATTCCCTTCCATCTGAAAGGAGCAGAGCTGCAGGATGGCATTTCTGCCGTGGCTTGCTCTTGCCAGATGCTCTGCTGAGCACAGGCCTGCCTGTCTGCAGCGCTCAGGCTGGAGTGGCTGTTCCACATGGATTTTCCCTTGGTACTTCACTTTTGTGGCAAACAGTTTCCAGACCAGATCAGTGTCTTTGTGTGCGTTTTGAGTGTAAAATGTTCACAGCTGTACCATTTATTAAATGGAGTTTTTCTTTCCTGCCATGGAAGTTTTCCGACACTTGGGATGTGGAGTGATGCAGTTCTGCTTGGCCAGAGCCTCAGAAGGGAGTTTGTCTCTGTCTGTATGGGGGAAAGAACCTCAGGATTGTTTTGGAAAGGCCTTGACAGTAACAAAACCTCAAAGTTGAGTCCAGTTCAGGACTCGTTCATGAAAACTTGGTTTTGTTTGTCTGGAGTTTCCCTTGTTACAGATGGATTTTTAATTTCTTTGCCAGTTGACAACTTCAGCCAAGCCACTGAGTGTGTGGATTTTCTGAGTGTCTCCCTCCCTCCCTCCTCTTGCTTACATGTGGCAAGCTATTCTTTGGACTGTGGGTGCCTCAAATTCAACCTTTTATTCCTCCAGTTGGACAAAATAAGTCTTACTTGGAAGGAAAAAAAAGAAAATTACGTGGCTTAGGCAGAACAACTCGAGTGCTGACGCAGCCAGGGGAGGAGGGTGGGCTGTGGGAGCTGGTGTGCTGCTCTGGAAGCTTTTTGCCTGGAGCCCAGGTGAGCTGTAACACCTGCCCAGGTTGTGCAAACCTTGGGATTTGGGGGGAGGAAACGAGAACAAAACAAGCTGAGCGAGCAGGTTGCAAAAAGCCTCTGGGGAAGGAGGTCGGTCGTGAGCTCCTCGTGTGCCAACTGCAGAGCCCCATCCTGGGGAGCAGCCCCAGCCTGGGGGTGGGCCGGGCCAGAGCTCACCCTGTGTGCTTGTTTGTCCCCAGGGGGGCAGGTGGTGAACCTGATGAACCAGCGCCTGCAGACGGGCTTCACCGAGAGCGAGGTCCTGCAGATCTTCTGCGACACCTGCGAGGCCGTGGCCAGGCTGCACCAGTGCAAAACACCCATCATCCACAGGGACCTGAAGGTGAGCTCTGTGCTCCAGGGGGCACCTGGGGGCGGCTGAAGAACCCGAATGCTGGGGCAGTTTGGGGCACCACAGTGGGAGGAAGATGGGAAGCCCTTAGAGAGTGTCCAAAGGAGGCAACAAGATGGGGAAGGGCTTTGAGGGGAAACTGTGAGAGGACACTGAGGGCACTTGGTGTGTTCAGCTGGAGCAGAGGAGACTGAGAGGAGACCTCTCTGCTGTTCCAGCTCCCTGGGCAGGGGCAGAGGAGGGGCAGGACTGAGCTCTGCTCTGGGGGGAGCAGGGACAGCCCCCAGGGAATGGCTGGAGCTGTGTCAGGGCAGGCTCAGGGTGGATCTCAGGGAAAGGTTCTTCCCTTAGAGGGTGGTTGGCACTGAACAGGCTCCCCAGGGCAGTGGGCACTGCCCCAAGGCTGCCAGAGCTGCAGGAGGGGTTGGACAATGCTCTGAGGGAGAGGGTGTGACTCTTGGGGCTGGGCCTGTGCAGGGCTGAGGGTTGGACTGGATGATCCTTGTGGGTCCCTTCCAGCTCAGCACATCCTGTGATTCTGTGATCCTCACTGTCTGCCTGCTGCCTACGCCAGTGCCAGGGCTGTGCTTCCCTCGTTAGTGATGAGGAAGAGTGGGCATGAATACACCTCTCTATTGGAAGATAAAAAAAGAAATGAGCCTCTCATTGCTGCTCACCATATGTTTACCATCTATAGATCTCCTCAAACACAAATGTTTGTGAATAATTCTGGTCTGCACATGTGCCAGAGTGTACTTGATGAATTATTCACAGTGCCTTTCTACCCCCCAAAACGCCCTGGATGATTTAAGGTTGCTCACAAAAAGGGTGCTGGAAAGTTGTTACCTGGACCCACATTAGAAGGAGCTGTTGGCCTTGGGGCAGGAGTTGCTGGGAGCTTTTGGAACTGGCCTCTAGAGCTCTGACCGTGAAAGTGTGTTGTAAAACTGCGTGTGCTTAGCTGGGAACAGGGCTGGGCCTGCAAGGAGAGCTTGGGAGAAATCCCAGGCCTGTAATCAGGCAAACAAAAAGATGTTCCCTTTCCTCTCCACGAGCTCGTAAAAGGGCAGAATAAAATATTCAGCCAAGGAGGAAGGAGGCTGCTGAGTAGATTTGAAATTTTGATGTGCTTTGTGGGGCAGGTTCTATGTTTGTTTGTGGAGCCAAGGAGAGTCAGGTAGGGCAGGGGCAGGAATCCTCAGGCTCTGGGGAGTGACTGTGGCCCTACTGCTCCCTCGGTTTGGACAGAGAAATTACTCCTGTGGGTGTTTCTCCAGAGGGAAACAGGTGATCTCTTATCAATTTGAGGCCTGGGTAAAGCCCGTGGGCGTCCTGCAGAAGTTTGTGTAGGCCAGGGAAACTGGGATGAGGGGATGAAGAACAGGAGCTGCTCCAGCTGACATCAACCCCTGCCCTTACCTTTTTGGTGAATCCCTGGGGTTTTTCATAAAGAGCAGACTCATTGTGTGGCCTGGGAATGAATCTGGGACATCTGTGCTGGATCAGGGAGCTGAGTGTTACTGTCTGCCCTGAGCTGCAGTTGAAAGGGGCTGTTGGGGTCTGATGTCCAGCTCCCACTGCCTTGATGGGGGAGGTTTTGCAAGGCCTGGCTCTTGGTAAGCTGTGCCCAGGGTCAGAGCTGGCTCTTCTCTTCTTGGAATCATTTTCTGGTTGAATAGTGTATTATTTCTGCTGTGGGGACCTCTGGGGATCCAAGCACGAATGCAGAATTAATGATTTCTACGTATTTTGACTTCATTTGAGTTAAAACTTAATACTGCCAAGGGGGAATTGCAAAGCCAAGAGGGACTAAGGGCCAGAGAAGTTCTGTGCAAGGAGGGAGTCCATCCTTAGGGGTTTTCTTGGGGTGAACATAACCCTGCTGAAGAGGGGCAGATGTTGATTTTGGAGGCAGCTGCCTGGGGGTTGGAGGCCTTTTGTTGCCTTCCAGCTCTTTGATGTGTCTGGTGCTGGAGGTTCCTGCCAGCAGAAGGGATCCTGTGAATGAGTTCTCAGGCCTTTCAGAGGAGTGCAGCTGGAGGAGTCTCTGGTTGTGAATTAACCCCACAGGCTTTGCCTGAAGCAGAACCCCCTCCTGCTGGCACAGCCCCCACTGGTGTGCAGTGACCAAGGGACAGCAGCACCTTTACCCAGAGTTTCTGTAGGGGACATCTGGCTGCGAGTGAGAGCCACGAGAGGATCCCCTGTCAGCCCTGTGTGTGTTAAGGTTTCCCTTCCTGCTCTGGTTAACTCAGGTGCTGTGTCAGCTGCAGGCTGTGCAGTTCAGGCTGTGATGTTTGGTTCCTTCTGCTTTGGTTGCCACAAAACCAGGTGTTTATTGATGCAGCTTTCTCCTTAACATGAGGCAGCCCCTCATGTGCTGCCTGTGCCCCAGTCTGGACCCCTCAGGCAGATTCACTGGCAGTACAGTCTTTGCTTGCTCTTGCAGAGACTTCCTCCCCCTTAGGGTTCATGGGCCACTGCTGCTGCAGAGCAGTCCTAAAAAGTTTATTTTTGTTCTCCTTTCTGGAGTAAAAACAATTCAGAACAAATGGCCCACCCTTATGGCAATCTGTTACATCACCCTGGCTGGGCAGTCTCTGCTGCTGGGTTGGAATCTCTGTAAGGAACCAGACCTGTCAGACCCCAGAGGAGCAGGGTTCAGTGAGGTGGAGGAAGGGCAGAATCTGCCTGGGGCTGATGATACTGATTTCCACAAGTACCCTGTACCTGGTGGCAGTTGTTTGCGTGGCTTGTTTTATATTTAACCTCATCTTCCCAGTCTCACACCTCATAACCCGTGTTGTTCAGAGCACCAGCTTTGATTCCTGCAGGGAGGGGTCTCCCATTTCTACCTGTGGCGCTTCTGCTGGTCTGAACCCCCCTGTTTCCAGGAGCAGGTGCCTGGATGGCAGATGTGCAGGGGTTTTTATACTTTATTTATACTTTGTACTTTTTTATACTTTGTTTTAGCAAAGAAGCATTTTATTTTGGAAAGGCTGAAGCTACACTCTGTAACCAACAAAACTTAAAGCAACTCAGTGTTTCCACCGAAGGTTTTTGTTTGGGGGTCTGACTTTGTGTCAAAGGTTGCAGCCCGAGTTGTAAATGCTCAGCAGTGGTGGGAGCTGGAGTGCAGATTTTGGGTGTCTGACCAGAAGAAGACACCTCCATACTCCTTTTAAAGACACTTTTCTCTGGCCTGGCAGGCAGTAGCAGTGATTCAGGAACTTTGTTTTGCTGTATTTATTTTTTTCCTTTTCCTGGCAGTTACCAAGCCTGGTTGCTGGACAGTCCAGTGCTGATGTTTAACAAACCTTGCAGGATGTTTCAGTGAAAAATCACCTCAGACTTCTCGACCAGATAAAGAGGGAGGACTCTTCTGGAAATGCTTGAGGAGTATTTGCAGGGAAGAGGGAATAACAGCGTGGCTGTGCTGGGGAGAACATCTGTGTGCAGTGCTTTATTCAAAGCAGATGGATGGCAGGGGGAGAAGGGGGGTGTTTAACCCTTGGTTCCAAGCCAGCCTTCTCCCCCTCAGCTGCTCTAATTTGGCTGCGTTTTCTGATGCTTAAAATGCTGACTCCTCCTTTTCCTTTCCTTCTTGTGAGGCTCATCCTCGATGGGGAGCTCCACTTCCAAAGGGTTTTGTTAGCAAACGCTTGTGTGGGTTTTTTTTTTTTTGGAACTGTGTGAGCAGTGTGTCTTTATCTCGCTGTTGTATCTGAGCATTTGACACTGATTGAAGATAAAGAGGTGAAAAATTGTGTGTTCCCTCGAGAGAACATGCTGGTAATGCCTCTGTATGGATGAGGAGTGGGAACACAGGGCTGCTCTGCCAAAGCAGAGATCTGAACCCGGGGTTTTCCACGTTTGAAGTCTGTGTTGAAGCATTCAGGCAGTTTGCTAGGTTTTTGTTAATGCATGATCAAGTGAGGGGAAGGCAGTGTTTCCTGCTGATTGTATTTGTTTTTTTCAGCTGTCCCAGGTGTTTGTTTCAGTTGCCTGATTCAGGGTACCATATAATATTTGAAGGGAAAGGGATCATCTCAGCAGCCTGGAGGAACCTTGGCTGCTCCCACCCTCGTTCAGGGACTGTGGGGAACCCAAAGTGTGAGCACTTGGGAACAGACCCTCAGGGGCAGGGGGAGTGCAGGCAAAGGCCTGGAGATGGGGTTTAATTTCATGAAGGACAGAAGTGTGTGTGTGCTGCCATGGGTTTGGCTCCTCTCTGTGCCGTGGACAGCATGGCAGGGGGCACAGCAGCTCAGGGACACCGAGCACCTGAGGTGCCAGCACTCTGTTCTTGCCCTGGTACTCCTGGCAGAGGCAGAGGAGTGTGCTGGCAGGAGGAGAAGGGAGGGGTGGCAGGATGGAAGGCAGTGTTACAACTGTGCTTCCATCATTTGGCTGCTATTTTGGGGGATGTGACAGAGGCTCGATGCCTGTTTTCTTTGCTGTCGTGCTACGCCTTTGTGTCAGAAGTGTCTGATATGTCTTCAGGCACTGAAAACCTTGGCTTGTGATAAAAACCCTGAGTATTTTTTTGTGTCTCTGAGTGACTCTGTGTCTGTCTGTGGTGCTTGTAGGTTGAAAACATCCTGCTGCACGACCGTGGCCACTACGTGCTGTGTGACTTTGGGAGTGCCACTAACAAATTCCAGAACCCCCAGACAGAGGGGGTGAACGCCGTCGAGGAGGAGATCAAAAAGTGAGTGTGCTTTGCCTTTTCAGCTCGGGCCTGGTTTGTGTTTGAAGGGTAATTTTGGCCTGTGCTGGGATTAATTTTGCTCAGGCCTGTTGCAGCAGATTGGCTGTGCTGCATGGCAGTGTGTGCTGCAGGTAAATGAGTGCCCGGGGGAAGGTGAAACAATAAATTGAGTTTGATGTAATTGCTTTGGAGCTGAAAGACTGAGCGTGTAATGCAGAGGAGCTGCCCCACCGTGCAGGCAGTGACCTGTTCTGTTCTGTGTGGGGTCACTCTGTCTCTGTCCTTCATCTCCCTTGGTTTCTTCGAGCTGCCAGGCAGGGATGACACAATCCCTGTCCTCCCAGAGCCTCTCCTCACAAACCTGTGCAGTGACCCTGGGCCCCAGAGCCTTTCAAGGGTTTAATCCAGCTCCTTCTCCTGTCCCATCCACAACCAGCTGTCCTGGCAGCACCTGGTGCTCCTGGGTGCTTCTGCAAAGGGAACTTCACTCAGTTCAGCAGGACCTGGATCAGGGATGGAGCACACTCCTGGTCCTTGGGCTTGCTTTAGTTTTAACAACATCACTGCTGCAAACTTGCCCCTCCTGTCAATGCAATATCCTGGCTAGTTAGAGATGTGTGCAGAGCCTCCTTTTGGTTAGGACGCTGCCTGGATTTCCTGGACTTGTTTGACTGGAGTTGTCAGAGCTCTCCTAATCCAGTGTTGCAGTCCCTCCTGTTTGTACCCTTAAGCCTACAAAGCCTTTAGTGATGCTTTCCTGTGATCAAGGTAAGCAGCAGGCAAAGTGCCACAGCAGAAGTTACAGACCTGCTGATAGGAAATCTCATCAGAAGAGTCTCTTAAACTCTGGTGCAGTTTCCAGCTGCATTATTTGTGGGGATCTGTTAAAATGAGGCAGATTCCAGCTCTGCTTTGAGGTACGCAGTGACCCTCCCCTTGCTTACATTGACTCTGAGCAGGAGTCCCGGTGTGGAAATCCAGTTTTTAGGAGCCACATATCCAGTTACAATCTCTGTGGTACAGTTGGCCACAGCCCTGCAGTGAGGACACTGCAGAGGACAGCTGATTACTGACCTTGTTATTACTTTGCATCCTTGAATATTTCTGTTGCAGTTCTTGAAATGACTGTGCATTTTTGTGAGTGAATTCCTTGTTTTAGAATGGACTGTGGTTACTGTTTTGGCTTCCCAGGGCAGTTGGCAGGGGTGTTTTATTGCTAGAGGTAGAGGCAGTGTTTGAAGTATCTAGCACATGATGCTGCTAAAGGTTTTTTAAATAGGTATCTTTAGTATCTTTTTCCCTCAAATGAACAGGGAAGGAGAGAATTTGGATGTATTTGGAACTGTGACAGAGTGAAAATGCCTCTGATAGCCCTTTTGAGCTCCCTGATGGATGTTTCTCTGCAGGTACACTACGTTATCCTACAGAGCACCAGAGATGGTCAACCTGTACAGTGGCAAACTCATCACCACGAAAGCAGACATCTGGGTACGTATGAACACCACTGGGCACCCTCCAGCCAGGCTGCAGCTGCTCCCATTGCCATGATGGCAGGGAAACTGGGCTGACCCGCTTTCCTGAAGAGCCTGGGCAGTTCCTGAAGGAAGAAACTCCTCTGCTGATGTGTCTGATGAGTTCCTGCTGAGCAGGGGGGGAACTGCTGGGGGAGACCTGTGTGCTCCTCACATGTGGTTTGAATTCAGAGATGTGTGAGGCTCCAGGATTGAACCCTGGAGAGTTAAAGCAGCAAATTCAGGCTGTTTTAGTTTCTTGTGCCTGGCTTGGGGTGTAAGCACGTGAACTGGAAGTTACTGGTCAGAACTGAACAGGAACCTGAGAAAATGGACCTGCTCCCCTCGGCAGGGGTGGGTGAGCCTGTGTGACACAGGGCTGAGTTGTCAAACTGGCCAGAGGCCAAACTCCTGCCCTGCTGCTTCTGCTCACCAGGGCAATCCTGCCATGCTCTTCGTGGTGAGAGCAAAATCCAGCTGGGGTGAATCCATTCCTGGCTAACCTGATCCAGGGTGGAAGGCTTAACCTGATCCAGGGTGGAAGGCTTAACCTGATCCAGGGTGGAAGGCTTAACCTGATCCAGGGTGGAAGGCTTCCCTTTTGGGTGGGGCAGAGGTGGAAGAGAGCCTGTGCTGTTTGGAGCGGTAGAGGCAGTTCAGCAGAAGTGTTTCAGAGTGTTTAAAATGGTAATTGGGAGCGTGTTTGTGATGTTCCTGGAGCCCTGAGCGAGGAGGTAACACAGCAGAAGCAGCAGAAGGGTTTTGATGTCCAATAGCTGTGCGTGTGCAAGAGGGAAAGCTGGTGGTGTGACACCTGCTGGGAAGAGCCCCCTGTTGTCAGTGAGCTCAGCTGGAGGCTGCAGGGAACCAGCAGCTCCTGTGGGAGCAGGTTTAGCAGGATTCTGTAGGGTCAGACCCTGCACAGCTCTGGGTGGGAGTGGAGAGGGAAGGTCACAGCTGTGACAGCGTGGAAGGACAGGCAGGGCCTCAAAGGCAGCCAGAGGAGAGCCAGGATTTGCACTCCCTCCTGTGATGATGGGGGAAGGTGGAGGTGCAGGGGCTCTGCTCCTCCTGGCATGGCAGGAATTCTGTTCCTGCGGCCCTTGGAGTTTCCAGACCAGTGTGTGTGTTGGTGCCACAGGGGAGCCTGAGCTTCCAGTGCTTGTCCTGCTGCAAACTTGCCTTCCCTTCAGACTAACTGAGCTTATTTGAAACCAGAGAGCAGTTTAATTGTGAAACCCTGTGACAAAAGAGATGAGCTGATGATGTGTTGCTTAGGATTAGGAAATGTTTCCTGCTCTCCCCTCTGAGGTAGTGGGAGTGTTTCATAATTAGCCCTTTGTGCAAAAATGGTGTTTTCTTTTGCAATAGGTGGTGGTTCTTGCTGCCAAAAGCAGCAGGGCAGTGGAGGGAAGGGTGGTACAACCTGGCAGGCTGCAGAATGAGCTGTATTTCCCTGGCATTTATTTAGAACAGTTGAAGGGTTGTTTGAACTTAAGCTTGGAAACAGTTTGGACTTCTCTTTGTCAGAATAAATGTATTAATGATGATGGTTGCCATTTATTTGTGCTGTTCCTTTGCTTTCTCCTCTCAGCGTGTGGCACAAAGAGGCTTTGCCTGTTCGGTGACACGAAGGGTTGTGCTCTGCAGAGCTGTGTGGGGTGTGATGATACACAGCCCCCCCCATCAGTGTCTCACTAACAAGGGAGAGCCGAGCTCTCCATGGATTTGTCTTGCCCTCTTGCTGTGTTTCAGGTCCATGCCAGGGGTGTTGGGTGCAGGCCTGACATCACACAGGACCTGGCTACCCAGGCTGGAGCCCCCTCCCTGTCTGTACCGCGGTGTTTGAGCTGTGCTGTTCCCTGCTTGGCTCAGCCCCTGCTCTGTTCTCTCTCCCCAGGCCCTTGGCTGTCTGCTCTACAAGCTGTGCTACTTCACCCTGCCCTTTGGGGAGAGCCAGGTGGCCATTTGTGATGGCAACTTCACCATTCCAGACAACTCGCGGCACTCGCAGGACATGCACTGCCTCATCCGTGAGTGTCTGACCGAGGGACAGGCCCCTCCCACGGGTCAAAACACCCAGCAGAGCAGTTCTCTTCTCGTGTTCCCTGCTCCCACAGCAAAACCAGGAGTTTCCCTCCCCTTTTAAGAGATTTGCTTGCCCAGGGGTTGGTTAAAGTGATCTTTCAGAAGCTTGGGGAGATCACCCTTGGAGGGCCAGCTGTGACAAAGGGATTTGTGTTTGGCCAGGCTGGGCTGAGCGCTGGGGAAGGGCAGGAACACAGACAACCGTTTGGTTTGAGCCCTCCAGGAACTTGCACAATAAGCCTATTTATGCAGAAACGTATTTCTCCAGTAATAAATCTGTTTGGATAAGGAACTGAAAAGAACCACAGTGACTTAGACTAGTGATAAGAATTCATCTTCTGTGAACTGGGAAGCAGAACTGAAATGATTTATAAATAACCCACTGACTAGAGTGAATGTGTAATTAAGTGTACAATGCACTACTCTTGGCAAAGCTGGGGCAGCTCTCTTGTTTCCAGCACAGCATTTGATTTTTTTCTCTTCCTAGCCACAATCTTGACTCACAGAGAGTTGGATGTGTTCGCAGAGCAGCCTGGTATTTTCTTTGCTTATGTGGGGTATCTGTGCAGTGGTGTCTGTGGCTGCCTCCTCTTCCTGCCCCCTGACACATCAGGGCTGGTCAAGCTCTTCCCCTGTGGGTTCACTGGGAAGTACAGAGTCAAACCCAGGGCTATTCCCTGGCCAGGCAGCATTTCCTCTTCTTGCCCTGGAGCTGCAGGTTGGTCATAGCTGTGCTGGGAAACGTGTCCTGGTGCATCCTGACTGTCTGTCCTGCCCCGTTCCCAGCTGAGCCCACCATCAGCTCAGCCCTGACCTGACCAGGTGCTTTGAAAGAGGCAGAGCACCCTGTTTGCACCTGGTTGTACCAAATGTAGAACCATGGAATGGTTTGGCTTGGAAGGGACCTTAAAACAATCCAGCCCCACCCCCTGCCATGGGCAGGGACACCTCCCACCAGCCCAGGTTGCTCCAAGCCCCGTCCAACCTGGCCTTGGACACTTCCAGGGATCCAGGGGCAGCCACAGCTTCTCTGGGCAGCCTGTGCCAGGGCCTGCCCACCCCAGCCATGAGAAATTCCTTCATTCCATGCAGTCTGAGGAGCTGCCACAGCTGGCTCATCAGTCTGTCCTGTTCTCTGCCTCTTCCAGGGTACATGCTCGAGCCAGACCCTGATAAGAGACCTGACATTTATCAGGTCTCCTACTTTGCATTCAAACTGGCAAAGAAGGAGTGCCCAGTCCAGAACGTCCAGGTGAGCAGAGGGGTGCCCTGAGGGAGGCTCTGTGGGAGGAGACTGGGGGGCAGCTGCTGAATGCTGAACATTCTGCTGTGTTCTGTAGGTTGGTCCCCAGTTCCGTAATTAGGAGAGTAATTTTTTGTTTGTTTGTAATTATCAGTGCTGTTTGATTTGGGTTTTGGGGGGGGGTGAGGGCAGGAATCAGTTTTTTTCATATGTTACTTATTCCTGTTTGTCCCTGATTGACCTCCTCACCCAGTCACCAAGTGTGAGGCCAACCAAGAGATCTTGTGCATGTGAAGATGGAAAATTAGGCCATGCTTGGGAAACCAATTTGATTTCCAGGCACACTCATCACAGCGTGTGTGATTTGGGTGCAGTTGGGTTTAAACACAGCAGTTTGGGGTCTGTTTGCTGGCTGGGACTTGTATTTCAGTTGCATCAGTCCTTGCACAGCCATCTGCCCCTTCTTAGTGTGCTGTTAGAGGCTTAACTGAGAAATAGAGCTGACAGTTATTTTCCTGTGGTGTTGTGGACACCTGTGACAGACATTTTATTTTGTTGTCTCCAGGTAAATAGAAACCTGCTTTTTTCTCCCCGTGTTCAGGTGGTTATTTGTGGTCTTTATGAATAAGAGATTGTTTTGGTACTATTGTGCCTGTATTTTTATAGCATTATTAATAGATATTGTTGCTGTTGTCCCCAGGTTTTCTTTTAAAAATGCCCAGGTTGTGCTATGAATCTTTGTGTTTGTGTTCCATATGTAGTAAATGCTCAAAAAGCTGAACCTTTTTTCTTCCCCTTGTAAAGACTCTCCCAATCTACTCTCTCCCCATGACATGAACTCTGAGGAGTTTGTTGTGTGTTCAGCATGAGGAAAAATGGCTTTGGGGATCCCCCAATCTCCCTCTTTTATTGTGATGTTTTTGCAAATTATTTCTGACTCTGTTTTTCTGCCCTCAAAATACCAAATGGGGTGTTTTTGGGATCTGCAGAACTCTCCAATCCCTGCTAAACTCCCAGACCCGGTTAAAGCAAGTGAAGCTGCTGCGAAGAAGAGTCAACCCAAGGCCAGGTAACCCCCTGCCTTCTGCCCCCCTCTCCTTCACTGCCTGTTGTGTCTCTGCTGTTGAGGGGCAAAGGTGCTTTTTGCTGCTTCCTTGGGGACAAACACTGCAGTCCTGAGAGCAGGAACGGCCCTGATCTGAGGGGCAGCGGATTTGGGGAGGTTTGTGTGCAGGGGGTGGGGTTTGGGGGGTGCTCAGTGTGACTCTGTGCCGCGGGCACTGCTCGACAGAGCTCGTGCACCCGGATGGATCCAGGGTGTCCTCCTTCCAGAGGCATGGGAATACCTGAGAGCAGGGCCAGGACAGAGACTGCAGTGGGCCTGGAACAGCCCCAGAGAGCATAGCTCTGCTGAGAGGCTCCTCAGGGACTGTTGAGTCTGACCCTGGACAGACCATAACCTGAGCCAGGAGTTACTGCACCGAATTACTGGGATTTCTGCAAGAGTCCTGCACTTTCTTTGGGGGAAGACACAAAAGCCCAAATTGCTTCCATCTGAAGATCCCAGTTAGTGGGGAAACCACTGTACTCTGTGGGTTTTATCCTCTCCTGCTGCTGCTTGCTCTGCTCATGGTTCTGTGATTGAGACTTGCCAGTTGTGCTGGACAAAGCTCGGGTCTTCTTTTGGTGCAGAGTGAGCGGTGCTCAGGGGGCACTCCACACCCAGCCGCTCTCCTCAGATCTGAAATGAGGTGTCTCCCTGTCTGCCAGCCCCAGCACTGTTTGTTTGTGTTCATAACTGAGTGCAGTTACTCTCAGGTTGGTCGGGTATCAGGAACAATTTCATATCTAACAAACCACTGTACCCACAGAAGGGCAGGGGGGTATTTGCTTCTCTCCCTCGCTCTGCATTTTTGGAGCTCAGTAAACTCAGAGGAGTCCAGTGACCCAATTCTGGGGTAGATGTACCAAAGTTAAGGTACATCTCAAAATGGCAGTTTAGACAACCCTGCCCAAAGGTACCAGCTGCTCCTGAGCTAATTTGTGTCCTTCATCTGCTTATTCAGAACTCTGAGTGGAGTCAAACAATATGTTGTATCAAATATTTGAATGAACTAAATGGTTTTGACAAGTCCCAGCTGTCCAACAGGATGAGATGCCACAATTGGCAGAGGAATCGGAGCAACAGTGTTGGATGAGTTGTTGTGAATGCATCCAGGAGGTCTTGCTGTGCCTGGTGTGCCCAGATGCCCAGAGTGTTTCACCTCTCCCGGCTGGGGTGTGGATGAGTGTTTTTACCCTGCTGTGTGCTCCAGGCACTGCCTGTGCTCTCAGTGCTCTCCTTCTCTCCCTCTCCAGGCTCACAGATCCCATCCCCACCACAGAAACGTCCATCGCCCCCCGGCAGAGACCGAAGGCAGGGCAGACCCAGCCCAACCCCGGGATCCTGCCCATCCAGCCCGCCCTGACGCCCAGGAAGAGACCCACGGCCCAGGCAGCCGTGCAGCCCCAAGGTGAGTGCTCCGTGCCCCTGCTGCGGGCTCTGTGCCCCCCAGGGCTGTGCTGCACCTTGATCTAACGCCCTTTTGGCTCTTCTCTCCCAGTTGCAGGCCCGGCTGCCCTGGGCAGTGCCCAGCCTTCGCTCCCTGCCAGCACCCCCCAGCCCAAAGCAGCCCCCCAGCAGCCCCCAGCCCAGCCCCAGGCCAAGGCAGCGCCCGCCCCGGCGCCAGCCCCGCAGGCACAGCCCCAGGTCCCCTCCACACAGCCCCAGGCCACCCCTCAGCATCAGCAGCAGCTTTTCCTGAAGCAGCAGCTCCTGCAGCAGCAGCAGCAGCAGCAGCAACAAGCTGCCTACTACCAGCAGCAGCAGCAGCAGATGATGCAGGCGCAGCAGGTGGGTGAGCACGGCCGGCTCGTTGTGTGCTTACGGTGTCTGCAGGGCTGAGTCTCTGTTTATGGCATGTTATATATGGATATTATGTGTATATTTTGGGGGAAAATAAGGGCGGGTTTTAGGCATTTCTAGTGCATCCCCAGTTCTCTAGTAAGATTTGCTCTCTACAGCTGCCTGGAAGGAGGCTGCAGGGAGGTGGGTGTTGGTCTCTTCTTCTGCCGGGTCTCAAGTGAAAGGACGAGAGGAAACGGCCTCAAGTTGTGCCAGGGGAGGTTCAGATCAGGTATCAGAAGAAAGGTTGTTCACTGAAGGAGTGGTCAGGCCATGGAATGCGTTCACAGTCGGACTCAGTGATCGTGAAGGTCTCTTCCAGACTTGATGATCCCGTGCTACACAAGACTGGCATTTTTAGCTGTCAGTGTGGAAGGCCTTGGGATAGGTTTGTCATGTACAAACATAAAATCAGCAGTGCTGGTTGAGGTGTTACAGCTCCAAGTGTTCCAGGGTCTTGAAACACCTCAGTGCTCAACTGATGAGCAGAGGGTACAATTTATCTCCTTTTTGTGCATCAGAAAGCCTGGGGTGCCTTTTCAAGGGTAGGGTTTGGGTCTGGCTTTTGGTAGACTGTGGTGATAAGGAGGTCTGTGAACACATGAGGTGTTACACAGAGATGACATTCACATGCTTATCTGAGGTGTTTATAGCAGCACAGATCTCTGCTAAAGGATGTTTAACAGTGGAAGCAAAGGAACTGGGAGTATTCCTATCCTGGGGAAAGGATGTGGACCTGTTAGAGCAGGTGCAGAGCAGGCCATGGAGGTGATCTGGGGGCTGGAGCCTCACTGCACTGGAGCCAGGCTGGAAGAGCTGGAGCTGTTCACCTGGAGAAGAGAAGGCTCTGAAAACACCTGAAAGCCCTTCCAGAGCCTAAAGGCAGCTTATAAAAAGCAGGGAGAGGGACTTTTTATATGGGCAGAGAGTGACAGGGGAAATAGTTTTAAACTGACAGAGGATGGGTTAGACTGGCTGTTAGGAAGGAACTCTTGGCTGTGAGGGTGGGGAGGCCCTGGCACAGGTTGCCCAGAGCAGCTGTGGCTGCCCCAGCCCTGCAAGTGTCCAAGGCCAGGTTGGAGCAACCTGGGAGGGGAAGGGGAGGGAATTGGGATGGGCTTTACATTCCCTTCAAACCCAAACCCTTCCATGATTCTGTGAAAGGTTCGAGGATCTGGTTCTAGACCAGGAGGCTGTGTCCCCCCACCCCTCTGCAGGTGGTGTCCAGGCCACTGGCAGGCTCTGTGCTGGCCCCAGCCCTGGTGGGGGTTCCCAGGCACACAGCAGGCACCCCAACAGCCGGTTGTTTCCCAGTTCCCAGTGATGCAGCAAGGAGCACCTGCACAGCAGCAGCTCATGCAGAACTACTACCAGCAGCAGCAGCAGCAGCAGCAGCTGATGGCCCAGCAGGCAGCCATGCAGCAGAAGACAGTGGCAGCAGCTCAGCAGAAACAACAAACCCCAGCACCCACCCAGCCCCAGGCCCAGCCCAGCACGGCACAGCCGGCACAGCCACAGGAGCAGGTGGGAAGGAGTGGGGCAGTGGGATTTGGGGCACTGGGAGCAGGTGGGGACAGCCCTGTGGGAAGGAGTGGGGCAGTGGGATTTGGGGCAGTGGGATTTGGGGCACTGGGAGCAGGTGGGAACAGCCCTGTGGGAAGGAGTGGGGCAGTGGGATTTGGGGCAGTGGGAGCAGGTGGGGACAGCCCTGTGGGAAGGAGTGGGGCAGTGGGATTTGGGGCAGTGGCAGGTGCTCCTCTGCCAGGTCCTGTGTGTTGGGTATGTACCACATCCAGCATTTTTGGAGCCGCAGAGCCCAGGCAATAGGTGCCAGGGGAGAATTATGCTGGATACTGGGACAATTTCTTCACCCAGCGGGCTGCCCAACCCTGGCACAGCTGCCCAGGGCAGTGGTGGAGTCCCCATCCCTGGAGGGGTTTAACAGACATGTCGATGTGGCACTTGGGGACGTGGGTTAGTGGCGACCTTGGCAGTGCTGGATTTGATGACCTTAGAGGGCTTTTCCAACCCAGACCATTCCATGATTCAGGAGCCTGCTGGCCCCAGTGTGTTCATACTGAGTCCCACGTGTCAGCACTGACCTTGCAGCCTCAGAGATGTGCAGCTGCTTGGATTCCTCTTTCCAGGGGGATGCTGGACTCCAGAGCTGTGCTCTGGGTCCACAGAAAGAAGATGAGTAATGGATGAGTAAAAGCAGATGAGAAGATCTAAGTAGCTGCTTAATGCAGCTTCTCTCCATCCCTCCCCTGTCATGTTGCCATAGAAGGCATGTGAGAAACTCTCTTAAAAATTTAGTTGTACTTAACACATCAGGATGGGCACCAGAGCTACTTTATGTAAACTCTTTTTTTGTTCAGAAAAGTTCTGCCTGATGTTCAGAGGAAGGTCCAAAACAGCTTCGTGGCTGTTTCCAGCACTGGGATCACTTTTTAATGAATGCTATGGGAAGGAGACCTTTCAAAGGAGACTTTTAAAAGCACCGTATCTAAAAATAAATAAATCAATCATCCCCTTTACTAATCATCTGAAAGTGCATCCAAAATAAATGCTTTTTACTTGATGGAAAACGTGGCCTTGTGCAGGAGGAACCAGCAGCTGCCCACAGGGAGGGAGGGGCAGGAGCCTGGAGCCAGTGCTCTGCAGTGCTTGTGGGGGCTGTGCCTTTTATTTCCATTCCTGTGCAATCTTATCTGCTCTTCCCTGCTTTGGGGAGCTCACAGGAGTGTCCCTCGCTCTAGGAAGAAGGCATGGCCAGCAGGCAGGAGGGAGCAGCCCTGTTATTGTGCTGTGCCAGGCTGCAGGGGTTACAGCAAACAGTGTCTGATAACAACCTGCTTCAGGTACTTATTCCTGGAGGTGCTCAGGGCCAGGTTGGACAGGGCTTGGAGCAGCCTGGTCTGGTGAGTGGCACCAGGGGGTTGGAACAAGATGATCTTTAAGGGCTTTTCCAAGCCAAACCATTCCATGATTCTGTTGTTTCAAAGCTCCCACACTGTTTGAGCCCAAGCTAAAGGGTCACTCTGTGCTCGCTGCTTCGTGAGTTGCCAGTTAATTCATCTCTCCAGTGCAGTTCCTTTGAAGTGACACCAGGAATTCATTTGACTAATAAGCTCCATAAGGCCTGAGCTGGGCAGTGCTGGGGGAGCTGTTTGCTCTGCTCCCTGGGGTGTCTCTGCCATATCCCCCCCTTTGCTGTTGCATTTTCAGCCCTAAGCTGGTGCTTTGGGTGGGGGGCAGTCCTGGAGCTGTTGTGTTCCTGGTCTTGTTCCTGTTCTGGTGAATGACCTGGGGCAGGTCAGTTTATTGAAACTGGTGGGAGATTTTCAGTGTGTGCAGGCAGGTTTTGAGTGAGGCCCATTATTTCCCTGTTCCTTTTAGAGCAGAAGTGCCTGAAATGGAGCATTGAATCAGGAGCTTTGCTGTGATTTGCTAGCACAAGAACACCCTTAATTTTATTAAATCAGCTGGCTTGAAAATGAGCCTTATTCCCCTGGTAGGCTGATCAGAATGGACACATCTGGACACTTCCACTCCTGCAGTCAGGAGGGAAAAACGTTGGTTGGCTCATTTAAAAAATGATAGTGAGGCCTGGTCTCTGCAGAGCAGTCTCTGAGCAGAAGATACCAAGCCAGGACCTGTCAAAAGCTCTTCATGTTGGGTGATTTCAGCATAACAAGCTCTGCCTTCATTTCTGTGGTGATTTCAGGGATGCCTTTTTATCTCTCAGCACCAAATGTCCTGTTCTGCAGTGACCTACATAGTGGGATGAGGTGGGGGATCAGGAGAGGCAGGTCAGGGAGTGGGTCTGCCGGAAAAGCAGGACAGCTCACCATTGTTTGCTTTGTCCCACTGAGGTTCAGCACCACCCTGGGGGTGTAACTCTTTCCTGTTGCCCTCCTAGGTCTTCCCAAGTGCTTCATCTTGGTTGGAAATGGTCTGGGAACAGGGAGCCAGGCAGGGGAGGTGACATGCACAGCTTGCTGCTCCTTGCATTCCAGTTTTCCTGCTTTAAATCCAGCCTGACAGACAGACAGACTGAAAAACCACACAGTCAGAAGTGATGCTGCTGTTTATCACTACAAGACCATATTTGAAGCATTTATGGGTTTGTGAGTGTAACACAAGACTGAGGCAATGGAAAAAATCAGATCAGTGTGAGGAAACCCCTTTGAGTTTCCAAGGGGTGTGTAGCTGGGCTGTCTTGGCTCTCACCTAAACCAGACGTGCCTGGTTTTCTCCTCCAGATTTTAATGACAAATGGTGCTCCTGTGGTCTTTTGTTTTCTTTTTTTTTCTTCCTTCCCCTTAAGAGAAAGTTTTTTGCACGAGATTTCTGCCCAAGTCTTCCCCCCCTTAGGGATTTGGTCCCAATCACACACTACCTGCTGAAGGCAGTGCTGCCCTTCACCTCATCCCCATTCCCTGTGTCCCCATGACAAGACTCCTGTGCAATGTGGTCTCATTTCTTGTTTTCCCTCTGCTCTGGATCTCTGCCCCCTGACCTGTGAGCGAGTTTGAGCCCAGCCAGCCTTTAACAGGTGCTAATGGAGGCTTTACCTCCAGAGCTGCACCACAGCAAGGGGAGGAAGTCTCTGCCCGTGGAATTGTAATCCTGAAGCCCTGCAAAGCAGCAAATCCCCCCGCCACGACTCCTCTGTTTTTCCCCTCCAGCAGCAGCAAGGACGTTGTGCTTTGCTCTCTCTCCCAGGCTCAGGCCCAGATGAGGCAGCAGCAGCAGCAGCAGCAGGCTCAGAGCACCCCCCCTGCAGCGGCCCAGGGGCAGAAGTTGGGCTCCCTGACCCCTCCATCGTCGCCCAAGGCGCAGCGCGCGGGGCATCGCCGCATCCTCAGCGACGTCACCCACAGCGCCGTCTTCGGCGTCCCGGCCAGCAAGTCCACCCAGCTCCTGCAGGCAGCGGCTGCCGAGGCCAGTCTCAACAAATCCAAGTAGGTGGGGGGGATGTGGCGTCAGAGGGCAGGGGGGAGGCTCTTGGTGCCTCTGAGATGGAGGCGGGCACGAAACTCCGAGGGCTAAAGGAGCCTCTGCCTTCCCGAGGAAACAGTTCAGGGCTTGCCACAAAGTTGCTGGAAAACTTGCCCAGAAGTCCTTCTGGGTGGTTACACACCCTGCAAAAGCCCAGGGCCTTGCTGTGGATCACAGTGTCATTTCAGCTGTTCACCAGTAGCCCTGTGGTGCACTCCTCATGCTTCCTGCTTGGCAGCAGTGCTTCCTGAGGGTTGGACTTGATGATCCTGGAGGTCTTTTCCAACCTTAATGGTTCTGTAATTCCCCAGGAGTACTTGCCAGCTCACTTTTGTAGTGTCTGCAGACAAGAAACCTTCACCTGGGCACTGCAGGGGATGCTTGTTTTAACCCCTGAGACCAGGATGCTCACCCAGCTGAGGAGCAGCTCAGGCTGAACTGTCCCTGGATTTCTGGGCATGCAAGTGCAGCAACTCGTGCTGGGTGTTTCAGTTAGGAAGTAATTACAGTGCAGTATCTTGGAGCAGCTGGTAGTGCTGACCAGAGGATTTCAGATGGGTTATTAATGACTTTGTTTGGTTGGGATGATCTGCTTCCAGATCTGCTTCCACCACGCCCTCGGGCTCCCCACGGACCTCTCAGCAGAACGTCTACAACCCGCCTGACGTGTCCACGTGGAACCCCTTTGATGATGATAACTTCTCCAAGCTCACAGCTGAGGAGCTGCTGAACAAGGACTTTGCAAAGCTGGGTGATGGTAGGTCCGTGGGGATGGTTTAACACCTGCCTGCTCTGGGGAGGGAACATGGAGTGGTGATGCCTTTGGTCCGGTGTTCCTTTGGTGCTCTGGATTACTGTGATCCTCTCAGCTAAATCCTTCCCATGTCCCTTCTGTTTGCTCAGCAGTTCAAAGGCAGAGGTACCAACTACTTTTACAGTGGGCCTGCTCAGTTCTCTGTAGAAGCTGCAGTTTAAACTCTGCTTCATCTGCAAGCTGGGATTTGCAGGAAGGGGCTCAAGTCACACCCTGAAATAGTGTCCTAACCAACACAGAATGCTTTCAGTATGGAAGTTTTCCCCCTAACTCTGTGTCTGGCATTTCAGGGAAAGCTCCAGAAAAGGTGGGCAGTTCCACAGAGAACTTGATTCCAGGTTTCCAGCCAGCTTCGTCTGCAGCCCAGGCAGATGCTTTCGGTGGCTCTTCCTTCACCGCTGGGTCAGGTGAGTTTGTGAACCTGAACTACAGGGCAGTGCCCTGGGCAGCACTGCAGAAAAGTGGCAGCTCTTGGTCATAATCCCTTTGAAAGGGAAGTAAAACTGATACAAACTGAGCTGGGCCTTGGCACCAAGAGTTGTAGGGAAGAGGTTGGTACTTCAGTTGAGAGGGGAGGTAGGAAGGGAGCTTGTCCTTGTCACAGCTGGGTGGCAGAGACAGGAGGCACTACCTGTAGGCAGAGGTGAGGCTGGAAACTGAGTGAGCCCCTTAATTCACAAGAAAGCTCCTTAGTGTGTTGAAGTTCCATGGAGCTCCTAATTAGAGGTAAAACATGTTTTGTGCACTAAGGGAATTGGCCTGGGGTACGTTGGTCAGACGCGCTGGAGCTCTTGGGCTGTTGGAAGGAGGAGAGGAGCAGGAACAGGAATGTCTCTGCTGCAGAAGGAGGATGGCAGGGATGAGTGAGCAGGGAAGGTCCTCAGAGGACAGCACAATCTCCTAATTGACATGTTAAATGAGGAAGGCAGTGAGTTCTGCACTGGCTGTGCTGTGTGGGTCCAGCAGCCCCGAGTCCTTGGCTGCTCTGAGGAGCTGCTCTGCAGAGGCCTCTGCATGTGGGACCTTCTCTGGTGTCTCCTTTGGTCCTTGGGTCCCAAGGTTTTGCCATGAGCAGCCCAAAAACCTCAGTGAGTGCTGCTGCTTGTTTGTAGTTCTTCAGCATCAGCTCTCCCTGAGTGCAGCACAGACCTGCCCAGCGCAGTGTTGGAAAGCTGCTTCAGGAGCTCCAAATGCCAGGGATCCTCTCCCTGTTACTGGTGACAAGTGCAGCTGTTTGATGCCTCCCCATGAAAGCAAAACAGGCCTTGGTGAGAGGAGTCTGGGAAGAGACTGGAGAATCCTTTGTGGGGCAAGAAATGACAAATCCATTTGTACTTATTTCTGTTTATAAGAGGAGCTTTAGAGGAGCTTATAAATGAGCTTGGTATTGTTGGCTCTTCCCTGAGGATTCAGGAGTTAAGTCCATGGAGCAGGAGTGCTCTGGGGAGCTGCTTTCTGTGTTTGTCCAACTGTGAGCAGTTTCTGGTGTTCCACCAGCCTTTGTGGAGGGCTGTTGAGCAGCAGATTCAGCTGTAATGTACCTTCTGAAAGCCTGAGGAGCATCTGCATGTTCTGGGCACTGTTTTGTGTTCAGTTCTTTAAAATGTGCCCCTCGACTCTGCTGTCCTGGGGTTTGCACAGGAAGGTGTAACCTTGGTGCAGAGCTGGACCCTTCCAGCCCTTCTCTTCCTTTCCTCAAGGACAGGAGTCTTTCCAGGCCTGTCTGGTACAAGATGCTGCATCTTTTATTCCAGACACAGAGGCCTGACATGGGCTGTGTATCCTCTGCTGAGGCCTTTCACCTTTTGTGCTGCTCTGAAGGGACATAACAGCACTTCCCTGCCAGGGAGTGTTTTGAGAGCTGTGTGTTGGAGAGCTACATGGTAATGGCTGTTTGGTGGTGTTGTTTGGTTTTTCATTCTTTTCACTGGCAACATAAGCTGGATTGGAGTGTGTGAGTGTGTGTGTTGTTCTGTCAGGCTGTTGTTGGGCTCTGACATCAGCTGTGCCTGTGCTGAGACTGCTCGATGCTTTCTGCTTTCCTCTGCTCTGTTTCACTCTGCCTTTTCTCTGCCTTTTCCCTCCCAGCTGAAAAAACGAAAGACATTCTGAGTTTGGAGTCCAGCCCTCCTCTCCTGACTGTGCCTGATCCTTTCATTCCTCTCCCGTTATCCGACACGCCAGGTAACACAGCAGAGTTTGTGCAGGGGGGCTTTGTTTTGTCCTCTTAATGTTCTGGTTTTGTTCCTAGGCTGAAACCCCTGAAATCCTGGGCTCAGCTGGTGGTGCTGGGCACTGAGAGGCTCAGCTGAGCTCGGGGCAGTGCTGGGGTGTGTGCTTGGTTTTCCTGGCAGACCCCAGGGTTGTCTCGTTCCTAATGCCAGCAGTGTTGGTGTCTTTAAAGGTTCAGTATTAAAAACCTCTCCTAGGAGGAAAAACTGAGATCTGGGGAAGGGAAGGGAAGAGAAGAGAAGGCTCTGGGGGGACCTGAGAGCCCCTTCCAGTGCCTGAGGGGGCTCCAGGAGAGCTGGGGAGGGACTGGGGACAAGGGATGGAGGGACAGGACAAGGGGGAATGGCTTCAGGAGTGGCTTCCCACTTCCAGAGGGCAGGATTAGGTGGGATATTGGGAGGGAATTGTTGGCTGTGAGGGTGGGCAGGCCCTGGCACAGGCTGCCCAGAGCAGCTGTGGCTGCCCCAGCCCTGCAAGTGTCCAAGGCCAGGTTGGAGCAACCTGGGCTAGTGGAAGGTGTCCCTGCCCGTGGCAAGGGGGTGGAACTGGATGAGCTTTACAATCCCTTCCAACCCAAACCATTCTGTGATTCTATGAAAAATAACCACCAGGTAATTAATCACCTCTTCTGACCTAAGCTCTTTTCAAATTGGTGTCCAGCTTTGAAACTGTAGGTTTTATTACTGTTAATCCTTCTTTCCTGGAAGAGTCAGTGTTTCTTTGGCTTCCACGCTCTGCTGCAAATTCGTGCATCATGCGAAGCACAAGTTACATGTGACCTTTTCTGATTTGGCAAAGTTTTCTGGTGCAGTTGGTGCTATTTCCATTTCCTTTGCAGTGCTGCTTCTGTCTTTCCTCTGTGCACATTTCTGCCTGCAGCAGCCAACACTTTTTAGCACAAGATTATGTAAGTGCTTAGGAGCTTATTTGCAAATCGGTGGGATTTGGAAAATGGGAATGTTTTTGTCTTGGAGTCTCTCTAAGCCCTCCAGTGACTGTGTGTGACAGTCCCTTGTCTCTGAGCCCCAGACAAGTGCTGGTGGCAGCTCCCACCCTTGCCCTTAGCCCAGGCTGTGGATCCCTGGAGCTGTGGCAGTAGAGGACCCAAACTTGGCAATGTGCTTGTGAAGGTGTCATCTCTCCATGGAGAGCTGAGCAATTCAGGAGAAAAATAAATCCCTCTTTTTCCAGAAGTCTGTGGAACTTGCTTCCTTCTGGTGGATGCTGAAAGAGCACGAGAAATGTGGTTTGGTCCAAAGGGGATTTTATTTTACATAAATGCTGCAGTTTGAGGGGAAAAAGAGCTTGGAGGCTGTGTGAGCACGTGCCAGGAGTGCCCTGCCCAGCTGTGACTTGAAAAGAGCCCACAGAAGGCACCTGAGTGCAGGTTTTCCTTCCCCCCTCCTGTGCTGTTGGAAGTGTTGTTCTTCCTGGTTGAAATCTGTCACCCAGACCATGTCATTCCCTGCCAGCATCATTCCCAGCTCACCCAGTTGCACACCAGGATGTTTTCCTTGTTGCCTCTCATTTTTTAACATAAAACTCGAGGCCAGGAGCTGATAAGTGTTTCTCAAGGGCCAGATCTGTGGACTTGCCCTTAGCTTTCAAAACCAAGAGGGTTTTGAACTTGTAAATTCAACAGAAAAGATAAAACCCCTGGATTTGGACTCGAGATTTGAGTCTGTGTCTGTCATGTAGGACAGAGGTGTCTTTGTTGTTCAGTGTTACCTGTGCAGAACCATCCCACAGCACAGAGAGGGATGTGCTGACTGGCAGGTGAAAGGTGTTTCTAGTGGTGCCCTGTGAGGCAGCAGAGCTGGGAGTGACTCCAGTCTCCCAGTACATCACCTCCAGTTGCTCCCCACCAAGCTGCCTCAGTTCTCTGCAGGAGCAGCTGAATTTCTTGGAATGCTTAGTGAATATTTCCTTTCGTTTGGAGTATTTTTATTCCTGAGAAAACCTTGATAACAGTGAATGTCCTTGCTCTGCAAACATTGTACCTTAGTCTTTGTAGGCTGGGAGGGTGCACAGCCCTTGCAGAAGTTCAGGTGTGAGCCTTCACCTTGTGCAGGTGCAGGTGGCATCACCTGAGTGTTGGTCAGAGACCTCCTGGGCCTCTCCCCCTTTCCCCTGCGTGCTCAGAAGGACAGATGCCATCGAGTGGCAGTGGGATGGTTTCCAGTGTGTTCCTCCTCCTCCTCCAGTGTGTAATGGCTGCAACCCTTAATGGAATTGTAACCAGTGAGAGGAGCTGGCAAGGGGGGTGTGAAAATATGGCAAAACATCTGTTAAAACAAGGGGGAATTAAATATTCATGCTGAAAACATTTCTCCTTGTGTATGTGCAGGAAAATGAGCCAAGTTGTTCTTAATGAGCCTATTGCAGGAGTCAGCACTGACTAATCCTGATGGAGTGCTGATCAGTGGTGACTCCCTGCGTGGGGCTCCTGAGTGTCTGTGCCCGTGGACTGAGCCCCTGGGAGCACAGGGGGCTGCTCTTTGCACAGGGTGTTCTGGAGGCCTGAAAATAAACTGAGTTCTGCACCTGAAATCATTGAACTGAGTTCTGCACCTGAAATCATTAAACTGAGTTCTGCACCTGAAATCATTAAACTGAGTTCAGGACAAGCCTCTGTCGTTGAGGTTTTTCTCCCTGAGTGGTCCCAAGTCTGGGGTTTCTAAACCTGAGAGGTGTGACCCAGAGCTCCTGATGCTGCTGCTGTGGCCCGTGGCCCTTGTTTCCCACTGCAGCTGGAGTGTTGAATGCTGGCCTGACGTGGGCACCCACGCTCAGCCATCCATTAGATGAGGTCTCACACACATCCTTTGGCATCAGAAGCATCTGCTCACATCAGGCTGGCTGGGCCCAGGGAAATGCCCTCTGAGATACTGCCAAAAATGTTCCTTTCTGTTGTTTGGGGGTTGGTTGGTTTGGGGTGGGAGGGGGGGGTCTCCTCCTTGTGTTATTTCCAGATAAACTCTGTGTCAGTTCAGTGCCACCTTGGCACGTTGAGTCAATCTTTTTTACCCCTTTTTTAACATCCTTTGTGAATTTCCACAACCGTTTCCTCCCTGCAGTAATTCAGCATCAGCTGCAGCTGACAGACAAACAGTCTGTGGTGGAGGGACTTGTTTGAGGAACAGCAGCACCAACCAGCCTCTGCCACGTTGTCTTGCCCTTAAAAAAATACAAGATGAGAGAAATTCCACGTCCAGCACAGCTCAGTAAACGTGCAGGGATAGCTGGGGGGGGTGCCCAGGCCAGGGAAGGACGTCTGTGCCAGCTGGGCACACACTGAATTCCTGGTTTTCATGGAAAGGCAAACACGGTTGCTTAGTGCCACGTTGGGGTTCTCCAGAGCCTTTAAACAGCACAGTCAGGGTGTTCACAAGCAAATGCAACAGAACAACTGTATTTCCAGTGAGAATTTATTTAATTTGTCCCAAGATGGCACGTTGGGATGAAGTAATTACAGACATGCACAGCCACTTATTGGTGTGTGCCAATGATCTGAGTTTGCATCTTGAGGGGGGAAGATGCAAAAGGGCAGCTGCTGATCTGGGAGCTCGATGGATTAATTGCTGCATTAACTGAGAGGACTGTGGTGGTGATTGTTTGGGGCAAGGAAGCCAACAGACCTTGGGAATCACAACTACACGGGTGTAAACAGCATCTAGTGTTGTTCTGCCTGGGCTTTGAACTTGATCTGAGGGGGCATAATTTGTGATTTTACAAATATTTGAGATCCTGAATGTGAAACTAAAGTTCCTTGACCTTGATTTCTTAAGGAGCCCCTGTTAAATGTTGCCCAGTTCCCCTCTATGGTGTCCACAAAGTCCTGTGCATTTGGAGTGTCCCAACTGCCTTTATTCAGCTGCTCTTCCTCTTTGTGCTCCCTGAGAAGCAATCCCATTTCACAGCAAGCCCATTAGGAAGATGAAACTCCAGTGCTTTCCTTGGTCAGCCCAGGTCCTCTGTTGCTGAATAACATTCAGGGCCTCCTCTAATCCTTAGCACTGGATCAGTCAATAGGCAGAAATCATCCCCAGTCCCTGCCCAGGGGGTGATTCCCTCCCGCTCCCAGCGCAGTGACCCGGCAGGAGTTTTACAACCTTGTCTTTCTTTCCCAGTTGCCACCCGAAGAAAAGGACTCTGCTGTGTCCTCTCTTGAGTTGTCTTTCCCTTTGCTCTCCCTCCAGTCCTCCAGTGAGTAACAGCCTTGCTGTGTGTGGTGCTGCTGCCCCTCCTTGGCTTGGAGATGGTGCATCTTGTTCCGTGTGTTCTCAACTCGGGGCAGATTTTTGCCTGCACTCCCTTTTTAACTCACAAGTTTCTCAGGAATCTTTATTCTCTCTAATAGCCTGCTCTGACTAAAAGCCCATTTGCCTCCCTCTTCTCTTGATTTATATTTTTTTTTCCTAACTCTAGTCCTTCTTTAGATGCTTTTTGGGTTTTCTTTGTTGCTTCAGGGTTATGTGGCCCCAAATAACTGCGGCATGTCAGTGGAGAGTCCGGAGTGGTGGCCTTGCAGATGCAAAGTGACTAATTGTGAACCTCAGTCAGACCTGTGCATGTGGCAGAACAGGGATCTGAAGCCAAAGGGCAGCATTTTCTCAGTGGACAGTGCAGGGCTGTGCTGCTCAACCACTGCATGGCCTTTGAACTTGTTTGCTTGGGCCAGGAGATGAATCCAGAGTTAGTTCAGTGGCTTCATTTCCTCCTTATGTTGGTACACATCAAAGGAAAGGCTCTTGCTTTCATTCCTGGAGGAGGTGATTCAGTTCTCCAGTCTCTGAAGCCACCAGCACGAGGCATTTGGGGGTCCTCCAAGCCCCCTTAGCTGTAGGCTCTTGCTTAGCTCTTTCTGCAGAGTTTTCCTTGCTCTGACAGGAAACAATCAGGAACTTCTCACTGTGAGGAGCATAGAACTTGGGAAGAATGCGAAATATTCATCCATAGGCTGGGCTTTACCTCTGGAGAGGCTTCATGGGGCATTTTTAATCCCCCTGTGTTCTTTTGAGCTTTAGACACCTCCTCAAGGCTTGCTAATGCCCTGCTTACTCAGCCATGGCAAGGCAGAAAATCCAATAGAAAGGAAACACCCCTGGCCAGCTTATCCTGAACCTGGGACAGAATTGGTTCCCTGTGACCTGGGAAGCATCTGGGAGGTTTTTGGGAGGCTGCTGCTGATGATCTCTCCAAGGGGCAGCTCCACGTGGGAGCACAGTTGTAGATTAAAGCCCACCTTTCCCAGCTGGAGTTTGATGAAAGCCCATCCTGAGAGCTCTCCAGGAGCTGTATGAGATCAAACACCTTCCTGGGGGGTTACATTGTCTTAACCTTGTTTATCCTTGGGCTAGTTTGTGTGTCTGCATGTGAATGGTCTGGATTTGTCTCTTGGATTTGGGGCAGAAGCACCTGCGATGCTCTAAAACCCTGAGTTACCTGCATGGTGATTGATACAGATGGTGTTGTCCTGTCACACTCCCCTCTGAGCTTCACACCTGCACTAAACTGCTTGGAAGGAGCCCTGCAGCATCTTGGGAGTCACTCTTGTTTCTTGCTCTACTGCTGTTTGCTGCATCTTTGCCTTCGTGACCTCTCCTAAAACCAGCCTGGGGTTGTGCCCACACACCTGGAGGGTCACCAGAAACTGGTGCTGCAGTGGCAGAACATCCCTCTTGGTTCCCTCCAGTAGGAGTGCTGGTTCCCCCCAGTAGGAGTGCTGGTTTCTCCCCAGTGGGAGTGCTGGTTTCTCCCCAGTAGGAGTGCTGGTTTCTCTCCAATGGAAGTGCTGGTTCCCTCCCCAGTGGGAGTGCTGGTTTCTCCCCCGTAGGAGTACTGGTTTTTCCCAATAGGAGTGCTGTTTTTCCCCAGTAGGAGTGCTGGTTCCCCCCAGTAGGAGTGCTGGTTTCTCCCCAGTAAGAGTGCTGTTTTTCCCCAGTAGGAGTGCTGGTTCCCCCCAGTAGGAGTGCTGGTTTTCCCCAGTAGGAGTGCTGGTTTCTCCCCAGTGGGAGTGCTGTCTTTCCCCAGTGGGAGTGCTGGTTCCCCCCAGTGTGGTTCCCCCAGCAGAAGGTGTGTGAGGGGTGCCAGGTGGGAGGGGATGTTCCTCCATCTCTCTGCAAAGGGCAGGAATGTGCCACGTGCTGGGGCTTTGCCCGTGGAGTCTGTTCTGCAGCTGATGATCCCTTTGTGTACATGTGAGGGGGCACTGTTGTCTTTGTCCAGGGCCCAGGAAGGAGAGTCATCCCAGTGTTGCCTCTTCCTACTCACTCTGATCCCTACTGGCTCCTCCACAGGACTCCACTCGCAGGTGAAGCAGCTTTTCCCTTGGAAGCTGAAGGGAATTCCCTCGGTAGCAGGGCCCAAACTGCAGCTCACTGTGACAAGGGATTGGTTTTCTTTCCAGGTCTGGCTGTGGTTAAAGTGCAGCTGCACTGTTTGTGCCCAGGGGATGAGCAGGAGGTCCCTCCTTGAGCTGCTGCTCCCGTGCTGGGGAAGCAGAGGCTGGAGCTGGGTCTGCTCTTGGACCTGAGCATCTGCTGTGGCTTCAGAAAAGCTTTCTTTAGCACAGGTGTTTTTTCTAAGCCTGTTGTGCTGAGGAGAACAGCCCTCGCTCCTGTGGAGGAGGAATTCCTGCTAATTAACACAGAACTGTGGATCTCACTGGGAATTCTCTGACCTTTCCTTTGCTCCTTGTTAAAGGGGAAGTTCACACCACTTAATGGAACTGTTCCTTTACTTCATCTCTTGCTCCTACAGGTTAGTAGCAGGTGCAACACAGCCCAGAAAGCAGGGGATGAACTGCTAGGCCTGAGGACAGGCTGAGGCACTTGATTTTTGTTACTTTACCTCCTTTCCCATCTCTCTCCTGTCGTGTGTTCGTACACATGAAGGCTGCTGTTCCCATCAGGCTTTTCCTTTCAGCTGACCTTCTTCAGGCCTTTAATGATCCAACAGCTGCCTCTTGGGCTCATTTTTAGGTTTCCCTCCCCTCCTGGTTGCTTTAGTGTGTTGGTTCGTGAGGGTTTTCACGGGGAGTAGAATTTATCCTGCTCTGAATGAGCAGCTCTAAAGCCTCCAGGCTGTTTTATTATTTATATAGGGCAATAAAAACCATTATTGCCATATATGTGACAGTGCAACTTCAGCTTTCCTTCGATGTTCTCAGCATGGTAAGTCTTTTATAGAGCAGGATTCCTGTGCTTCAGTGCAGTTGTGAGCATGTTTGCTTTGGACAATAAATAATGACACCAGCCTTTGAACTGAAAAATTATAATACAGATGTAACAGTTTTGTAACTTTCTAATGTGGGATTATAAACGGGAGTAATTTCAACAAGGTGAAAAGGCCAGGTTTGTCCATGGGGGAGCAAATTGTATCAGAGCTGTTCTAGTGCAGGTGATTACTTCTAATAAGCCCTGGCATTGTTCTTTATCCCCTTGTTCTGCGCAGCACCCCTTGTGAAAGCTGAATAATTAATCTGGTTATTGCAAACCTGGTTAGTGATTGGGAAATCACTCATCCACCAGATGAATAATTGAGATTAACTTCCTGCCCAGGTGATCTGAGTGTCTTTGTGTGAGGGATAATGGGACCCTGGGGAGCTGTGCTGTTGGGAGTGGAGTAACTGCCTGGCAACTGGACAGCTCTGTAACCCCAGGGCTACAGATGGCTCTCCATTTCTGGTTTTGCTTCAGCTCTTAAGGGCTCTGAGGTGTAACACTGAAGGACAGTTGGTTTTTATTAGATAAAAGTGAATTTTTTACAATAAGGGAGGTGAGGCCCTGGCACAAGTTGGCCAGAGCAGCTGTGGCTGCCCCATCCCTGGAAGTGTCCAAGGCCAGGTTGGACGGGGCTTGGAGCAACCTGGGCTGGTGGAAGGTGTCCCTGCCATGGCAGGAGTGGAATGGGATGAACTTTTAAGGTCCCTTCCAGCCCAGCCCCTCCTGGGATGCTGTGCTGGAGCCATTTGCACACTGTGGTGCAGATGCTCCCGAGGCTGCCATGTGAGCCCTGCGCTGAGCACCTGATTAATGTTGTCTTTTCTTTTTCTGTTTTTTTTTTTACTCCTTCTCTCCGTTGCCTCCCTTCCTCCTTTTCCTGCTTAACCCAGAAAAACTGATTGAGGGACTCAAATCTCCTGAGCCTGCGCTTCTGCTCCCCGACCTCCTGCCTCTGGCTGACCCCTTCGGTAGCACGTCAGACGCTGTCAATGGTAACAACCACCCCAGCCCCTTTCCTCTGCCTGCCCTGCCCTGCATGATAACTCCCCAAACAGCCCCTGGTGCTGCCGAAACACAACGTGTAGGCACTTGGCACAGCTGTGGTAGAAGAAAGTTCATTGCTGGTTGAAGGAGAAGACACCAAAAATCCCTCCTTTTCTGGTCAGGACTCTGTTCAGCCACAGCCCAGGCACTGAGCTGGTCTATCTCTCCATGGACCCTCAGCAGGAGGAGGAGGAAGAGGAAGGACAGCATTCCCTAGAGCTGGGGAATGCTGGGAATAATGTGCTAGGCTGCTGTGAGCCTGGATGCAGCAGGCATCAGGCAGGGCTAAGGTTCTGGAATGTTGCAGAATCGTGTTTTGATCTACTTGCCAAGCAATTGCAGGCTCAGTAGTTGCCATCAGCTGATGGTGTGGGCTGGGATCCCTTGGCCAGCTGGGTGCAACCTGTGGCTTTGAGTGGAGAGGAAGGAAATGAGTCACTGTAAAACTCCTCCCTTTTGCAATTTCTGGCAGTTGTCTGAACGCTCTTAGATAATGATCCTGCAAATCACAGGCACACTCACTGCTGGGAAATCAGAAATGATCAGTAGTCTCTCTTGGGCTGACCAATTAGGCCATTTGTGCTTCAGCATTTGGGTGCATCCTTGTCCTTTGATTTAACTTGGTCATTACCTTGCTGTTGGTCCCTGAGGAGGAGACCCAGACAGTCACTGCATGTGGCTGCTGTGACAGGTACCTGCCATGGCTCTCCCCTCCCTTTGTGCTTTCTACAAACCAAATCCTTCCATCCAGCCTTTGTAAACGTCTCCTGTTGCCTCCATGTGACGGGTGAGGTGGATACTGGGGACTGGGGCTTCCAGTGAGGTGTCAAGTTCCAAACTTTGTCACCTCCCTGCTGGCTCTGCAGTCCTTGCTCCGTTGGACCCCTAAGTGGGAAAAAAGGTGCCACATCTTGGCTTTTTACAGGCTTAACTGGGACTGTGCTGAGGGCTCCAAAGCAGGTGTTTTGATGACCTGTTACTCCTGTTGCAAGGGGACTCTGTCACGGTCAGGCTTCTCCTTTTCCTGGACAAGGATCTTGTGGATATTTGCCCAGCCCCAGGTCTCCTGCTTGGCTGCAGGGCAGGTGTTATTAACCTGCTGTTCTCTGCTCAAATTGGGCTTGCATAAATTAAAACAAATAAACGAAACCAAATAAAAGCACTGATGAGTTACAGTCTTCCCTCGTGGTTCAATTGGACTCCAGCCCCCTGTGCTGCCACGTCACAGGGTCACTAAAGGGTTCAGACAGCTGCTGCCTCAGCCCCTGCCCCTGCCTTTCCTTGCAAACTAACCTCTGGCTTCTCCCCTGCTCTGCTGCTTTTCCTGTGGAAAGGGAAGCCCGAGGTGGCCGTGGAGAGTCTGATCCCGGGGCTGGAGGCCCCTCTGCCCCAGCGCCTCGTGTCCCAGAGCGAGTCCGTGGCCTCCAACAGAACAGGTTGGTGAGGCAGCCC